AAATACTATGTTCTATGTTTGTTCCTAATATATCGATGTTGTACGGATTTGAGGAAAGACTTGTTAAATTCCATGGCCTGCCTACATCTGTAGGGTGTATTCTCACCCCTTCAAGTCTTGCTGAGTTCTTCACGCAAAAAAATATTTAATCAGAATCTGTGCAGGGAAACAAAGATTTAGTAGATTTCAAAAAAAAAAAAAAAGGAGAAAAAAAGAAAAGGAGAGAAAAAAGAGCAGGGGACAGTGAGAGTGAGAAAGAATAGATTTTTCTAGCTGTACATTCACAGAAGGCTTTTCTGAAACCATTCTTATGGATGCATTGGTAAGGTGAGTAAGGACAGTAAGTACAGAGAATTCCTTCCAAGGCTTTGGGAAACAGACAATTTGTTCCAAGGAGACCCAGGACACCAATGCATTTTTGGGGAAACAATCTGAAGCAGATTTACCATCGGACCAGTGGAAAATTAGTAACAGATTGTGTATATTTGCAAACCTCTTGGAATTACACCGATTGTGAATTTAAAATGACCCTTGAAAACCTCCATACACAAACCTCTAATTCTGAACTGAAAATGCATTTTCCCCATTACTTCAGTTCACTTTCATGAGCAAACAAGCCTGTGCTTTTTCTCTGCCATGGGATAAAAATATTTCACTACCACACAAGTATTTTGAAGGTAAATACATTACAGCATATAAAATACTAAGTTACCATAGTGAGGGAGCTTATTTAAGGACACTAGATGATACATTGAAATTTACTTTTTAGGTACAGTATGGAGCTTTAGAAGACTTTTAAAAATATGAGTATATTTGTAATATTGGCTCTACTTATTTTTACAGCAGTAAAATAACACAATGAATACCTGTATTTCTGCTTCAGAACTTCCAGTTCTAATGTTGTATCAGTGCTTTGTGCATCTGTGGTAGAGTCCTCACACCCAAAGCAGTACTGGAATACACTCTAAACAAAACATGGAACCAAACTGAAATAAGATATTATAGTCTGGCTATAGATTAAAAATGCCAAATAAGTGAATGGTAACAGTCTCCACACAGTGTTAAAGTTGAAAAGAGTTCCTGTTATGAAGTTATTTTTTGTATATTAAACATTTGTTTTGCAAAATTTGTTTAACCAGAAAATTCAGCCTACCAACAACAGCTGAAATGAAAAGTAAACAAATAAAAGAAGAAATGCCAAAAATAATTCTATTTTCTGCCTGAATAATTTCTGTAGCTTGTCTTGCTTAATAAAGCCACAGATCACTCAGAATTCAAACTGAAGATAGTCAAGGTCTAATCATTATTCCACTGATATCAATTAATGATTGAGTCTTATTAATGCAATATTCCTAGCAATCTGTGTACAAAGTTAATCAGATCACATTTTTAGTAAGAATTCTCTAGTCTAAGATTCACCATCTTACCATAAATCCACAGTATCTTGGCCTGTTGGGATATACAGTGATTGATTCCTGGTCCACCCGACTTAAGAACCAAAATGGCAGCTTCTTCTCTAAGTTGGTGTGAAGATTAACCTAAACATAGTTTTGCGTTTAGAGTAAGATACATTCTCTTAAGATAAAGACACATTATTACGTGAAAATAACCATCATGTTATTTTATTCAAATCACTATTATTAGATGTCAAGTCTCGGAAGATATCTACGCTGTGAACAATGGTATAATATTTGAAACAGCCCAGACACTAAAACCTAGTCATAGCAGTATTAAATATCGTAGCAGAATTAATTATTCCACATAGATGTGCACTCTTATAACTAAAATGATTCCAAAACTGAGTGAGCTCTTCTGTAATGGCTTGAATAGCTCCTTAGTACACTAAGGGCTGCAGTATAGAATTACAAGGCAGAAACGTTCAAAAGACAGAATACCTGTCATAGCCATGGGTTTTAAGACCAAATAATAATGGGAAAGAGAATGATCTTTCTCTCTTTAATTGTGCTATATCCTTTTATTAGATTATGACAGAGTATAGATTAAGATGCCAGTGGAATGTCTGTGAGAAAAAGAGTTTTCCCTTGGGTAGAAACAAGTATGTTATATATGAGTGCCTTTTCAGATGATGCTATCCTTCCAGTTGGTCTCAAATTGCTACAGAAATACTACGCATATGTACCTAAAAGAACAGGATGTACAGTATAAGCCTATTGCAGACAACCATAATCCTGTCAAACATACAGAAGGTTACATGCTTAATAAAGATGTAGTACTGTCTGAAGTTGCAAGACAACATCCTTCCTGAGCATTCTGTGGGCAAAGAAATACCTAAACAAGTGGAAAGCATTAAATGCTACAAGAACTGCCCTTATACCTCTGCTTTAGCCATTTGTATCTCCAGCAAAAGAAATATCTCTTGGGAGGAAATGTTACTCTAAAAGATAATTCTTCAAATATTCTTGAACTAAGCAAGTACAGCACATAATTTAAAGTTATGTGACTACCAGAAGTTATTTCTCAGCTGTTCTTGTTCTTGGGTATTCTGTCTGTGCACAGCTCTCTTTATTGCTTAGCCACTAGGTAGGGTCTGAAACTTTTTAGAAAAAGCAAAACCAGCAGGGAACATAGGCAAAGCCACTCCCTGCATCAGTTTTATGAATGGTCAGATCCTCTCACAATACAGGCTTTGAGCAGAACTTAAAGAAAGCATGTGGACAACCAGTTTCTAAGAACATGTTAGTTAGAAATAATCTTTATTCGTTATTTGACAGGTATGTACTTTGTGTATTTCCACTTGTGAAAGTCAAGCTTGATATACAGTTCACAAGGAAAAAAAAAGCTTTTGAAAACTATATGCCAAATTTGTAATTTCTTTAAATGAATATTTTATGAAGTTGTGCTATTGCCTTAGCCCCAAGCATGTAAGCTGTGAGGACTACATTTACAAAAGCTATATTGAAAATATCTAAGATGCACATAGTTTTCAAAAGCTTGTAAGTTATTAAACTCTTCTGATTTCAACAGAAATTCTGTTAGGTCTCTTTATACACCTTAAGGTAACTAAAACCATTTAGAAATGTGATGTTAAGTTCCTTAGTTGTACCTGTTATTGCATAGTATCTCCTCAGTACACAGACCAGCATAAGCCTTCAGCATACTGCAATTAATCTGGTGTCCTTTTGATTTCCGTGTCCCTTAACCTTCTTTCTACTGCATTAATTCTCTCCTTAAAACGCAATTCTCCAATTTCAAACACTGCATTTACTCATTTTGAGATTCTGCTGGAATAACTCAGAATTCATTGAACTGACTGTTCAAAAGTTCCTTAAAAATTTCCTTATACATTTCCTTGACAATGACTCACATGACTGAAAATGAGATTCAGAATAGGATGCCCATGTTCACCAAGTTGCTTTACAGAGATGCTAAGATGTTAGTTAGGGATGTTTATGATAGATCAGCTAATTATCTAAATGATATTCTAACAATGACACCTACTTCCCATAGTTGGTGCTTCTGTGGTATGCTACTTACCTGCATTGCAATTCTTTTGAGTGCAGCATATTTTTGTACTTCAGCTATGTCCCCAACAGCCAAGCCAATCTAAAAATACCAAGAAAGATTTCATTATCTATTTTTTCATAGTCTGTGATTTCAATCTAAAGTTAAATTTATTTTGTTTCACTGGAATTTGGAAACAGATCCCTTATATGCATATTTGGAAAATCCATATCAAGAAATATAGTAAGCTTTTTTAATGCTATCTGTCTACCAGGAAGGCACTAAAGAGCTACTTCAAAGATTTATCAAGAATAACATCCCTTCTTTTTGATTCTTCATCACTGCTGTTATGTTAAAAAACTTGTTGACCGTTTGATTGAATAGGATCATGGCAGCAATAAATAACTTAAAAAACCTGAATTGTTTGATTTTTATTGCTTAGCTCATATAAAAACCCGATTTTCTTAAAAAAAAATGATGTTCAGTGGAGCATGGCTGAAGATGTATTACATATTTTCCCCCTTTCTCAGCATTACCAGGTTTTCTGATCCTTTTTCTTCAGGCCACGTTCATTAGTTCATTTTAGTACTACTGTTGACTGCTGTTTTATGTGCAATAAAGATCCGTGTTTTGCCTTTTTTTAAAAAAAATAAACTGTTAGCGCTAGGTTATGATACAGCAAGGGATTGAACAAGTAAGACTATGTCTACCCTAGGAGGCACACATTGCATTTATCAAAGTACTTCTTAAAATCATTGTTCCCCAATTTTCTTTACCAAGACCTCGTAATAATACATTGCAGCCCCAATTCAAATTCCATCACAATTAGTACCTAAAGATATACAAGATAACCCTGCAAGAGTTAACTGTGGGAAAGTACTTAGAACAGTAAATTGGAGGGAAAATGAGGCCAAGGAAAGGCAACTTCTTATATGTTACTAAAAATATCAATTCGTTAAATAATGAACAAATGTCATGAATCAGCACTAAAGTAATTCTCTATGCTAAAACTGTGTATAAACCTGTGCTTAACCCCTTTTGTATATTAATAAGTAGTTTACTTACTAGCAAGTTCATAAGAAGGATTGGAATAAGCAGGGTAAATATAATGAGAACTGTGTAACTCAGGAATGGATATGGCAATTCACTGCTTAGTAATGGATCAAGGAATGCATCATGATAATTAATGTCTCCCAGCATCATTGCAAATGTCTTCATTACAGAAAGCAGAGGTGTGCTATATGTTTGCTGCAAAAAAAGAAGAAATACCAAAATCAAGAAAAAACCCGAACTGATGAAATTCGCAAATAACCTCTTGAGATTCTTTAGTAAAAAATGATATTTATAATGACAAAAAATTAACTATGCCATTCAACTAACCTGTGAACCCAAAAGGACAAAGAAACTAAGTCCAAAGGCCAATATCAGGAAAAAGAAAACGACAACAATCCGAATCAAAGTTCTCAAAATTTCCCAGAACATCACAACGTAGATGCCATAGTTTTCAAATCTAAGGCAATAAGTAAACAGAAAAGATATGCAAAATTAAATACTGAAGTTAGAGTCCCTTACGATTATTTATGTAAGGCAATAAGTAATCCTGATTTTCCTGTGTGAAAAAAGACCTTTTTTTCTCTCAGACATTCTGAGATGGAATGAATGTATTATACTTTCACATCCAAAAGAATGCAAGTGGTCTTAGTTACAGCAAGTCTAAACTACATAAACTTATATTTTAATGCACCAGAGCAGTACTTCAAGATATTATTTTTCATGGACAACTTTTACTCTCTCCATAGCCAGAGACAGTACAAATTATGGAAAACAAGCAAACAAAAAGAAAGACATTGCTCAGGAAGAGAAGGTAAGTAGCACAATTTTAAGACATCTGTGTTTTCAACAACAGTCTGTTATGTGGCATGCCACTCCCATTCTTGGCTTACATAAAACTAGATCTCAGAGTATGAGTTGTCATTGTCCTGGTTTCAGCCAGGGTAGAGTTAATTTTCTTCACAGAAGCTAGCGTGAGGCTATGTTTTGGATTTGGGATGAGAAAATGTTGATAAGGTGCTGATGTTTTGAGTTGTTGCTGAGTAGTCAAGGACAGTCCAGCTTCTCATGCTGGCCTGCAGCGAGCAGGCTGGGGGTGCACGGGAAGCTGGGAGGGGACACAGCTGGGACAGCTGACCCAGGCTGGCCAAAGAGATATTCCATACCATATAACGTCATGCTCGGTATATAAAGCTGGGACGAAGAAGAAGGAAGGGGTGGTGGAGGGACGTTTGGAGTTATGGCGTCTGTCTTCCCAGGAAACCATTACGCGTGACGCAGCCCGGCTTCCCTGGAGATGGCTGAACACCCGCCTGCCCATGGGGAGTGGTGAACAAATTCCTTGTTTTGCTTTGCTTGCGTGCACGGCTTTTGCTTTACTTATTAAACTGTCTTTATATCAAACCATGAGTTTCCTCACTTTTACTCTTCCGATTCTCTCCCCCGTCCCACCGTGGGGGAGTGAGCGAGCGGCTGCGTGGTGCTTGGTTGCTGGCTGGGGCTAATCCACGACAGTCATAAAGCAGATTAAGCTACTTTTTTCCCAAACCTGAACTTGGGAATTTATGTCTTCTGCCAGATTCAGGGACTAGATGACTCTTTCATGCTACAACAGTAGCAACTGAGAAAATCCCTCTACAGGATTTTCCCTGTGAAACATTATGTGCAAGGCTGAAAAGATCGAGCTGGAAGCAAAGCAAATCTGACTTCTCCTATTTATTAGGCATTTATTAGGCAAAACTCCATTGAAGTCAATGGAGCTACAGGTCGCTTTGAGAAGAGGAGGCCTGAATGAGTTAAAAAAATGATGTGTGGAGTTCTCCTGCTATACAAATGAAAAATATTCAGGCCAGGGAAGCATTTTATCTAGCAGAAGAAGGAAGGTTGGGTAATCATGACTTTACTTTTTACTGTTTGGGTTCAATTCCCATTTTGCCCACAGCACACAGCAGAGGAGAGAGGACGCTCCCATTCATTAGTCATCTAAGGTCAGACATATGCAGGACAAGGTTTGCCAGCAATGGCAGTACCATAAAGACAACCCCTCTGATATTTACAAACCTTGTTCTTAAACATCCCAACTACAGTAAAATGATCCTGAAATTAATCAGCAAATGCCATGTTTGTCTGACTGCCAGACCTCATGGGGGATGATTAGTGCATATATACAATAAGAATCAGAAGAGCATATAATGTTATCACATACTGTCATCTTTATTTTCTGAACAGCTCCAAATCACCACTTTTTTGCTGATCAGCCACATCTCATATTTGTGCAAGGCAGTCCTGCTCAGGCACATGCATGTTTAATTTATTAGTCTTAAGCACTACACCCACACTATTTTTCCCTCCACCCAGCTCTCCTGCGGTCCATGACTCTTGGATACTATTGTACCAGTGACAGCATTAAGATCATTAATGGCAATAAATAAACCTAATGTCAACTAAAGAAATAATTTCATCCACTACAATTCTTTTATAGGACACGATGGTGTAGAAAAGTGGGGTGTGCCATTTAATCTGTAAAATGATAAAAGAATTTACCTTCTCCCAGGTATTACTTACAAAAACAGACTTCTTTTTGCCTCCTGCAATTCCTAACCTCTTTTTTTTTTCTTTTTGAGTGAAAGTCTATACAGTATAATGAAACATGTTTCTAAAAAGACATATACAGTTGCTTTGTTTAATTAACGTTAAAATAAATCTTCTTTCTTTAGTTGCCATAACACATTGTCATGGTTTAACCCCAGTCAGCAGTGAGGCACCACGCTGCCACTTGCTCTCTCCGCCCCAGTGGGATAGGGAAGAGAATCAGAAGAGTAAAAGTAAGAAAACTCGTGGCTTGAGATAAAGACAGTTTAATAAGTAAAACAAAATCTATGCACAAAAGCAAAGCAAAGCAAGGAATTCATTCACCACTTCACATCTCCAGGAAAGCAGGGCTCCATCACATGTAACAAGGACTTGGGAAGACAAATGCCATCACTCCGAACGTCCCTCCTCCCCCCCCCACCCCATACTTCCCTCTTCCCCCCAGCTTTTTATAATGAGCATGACATCATATGATATGGAATATCCCTTTGGCCAGTTTGCATCAGCTGTCCTGGCTGTGCCTCCTCCCAGCTTCTTGTGCACCTCCCTGCTGGCAAAGCATGGGAAGCTAAAAAGTCCTTGACTTAGTATAAGCACTACAACTACTTAGCAACAACAAAAAACATCAGTGTTAACAACATTATTCTCATATCCAACACAAAACACAGCATTATACCAGCTATCAGGAAGAAAACCCAACTCTATCCCAGCCAAAACCAGGACACACATGCTCTACATGAAAAACACTGAAAACTACTTTACAGCTCATTAGGTTAAAAATTTCCTAATCTGGAAACTTGTATAGCTTGAAAAAAACACCAAACAGGGCTATTGCACTTGATCAGTCACAGTTTACCATATGTAAAATATCTGAAAATATTAGTATTATTTTATTGTAAAGCATGTAAATAACTTACCGTTGAAGGTAAAGCAAGAAGTTCATCCAAGACAAGTATACAGCAATTGCTCCACATTCCCACTGCAAATGAGCTGGTGTATTAATAAATAAAGAAGACACAAAAATTATGCTTGTAGTATAAATTGTCCAGTCCAGTAGATTGGAGTAATCCAACAAGTATTTCAATTTCTAGGATTTAAGAGAGAGGGATTCATATTTACAAGTCATGCATCGTTAAAGGACTGAATTCAATACACTATTTAAATCCTCTTCTCACTTTTAATTTTGTATAAAATGGCATTTCCTTTTTAATTAGCAAAAACTCAGATTATTTCAATATCACATAAACTGCTATGCAAGCATACTGTCCGATTAATGTTATTTCTCTATGTATTTACCTGCTGAATCAGCTGAAATATTTCTTTGCAGATTCCCAGTAAACTCATAATTAAAACTAAACACATACACACCCTTGTGAAGTATGAGTTCTGAAATAAAAATCAGAGCACAAAACAAATTAGAAATTATTAAAAGAACACATTTCAGCTCTACCTACTCCACACATTATATTGCCAAGTTAAGAAACTCTGTTAGCTTACTTCATATGAACTTATTACTATCTAAATTCTGTTTCACTAATATTTATTGTGAAGTCTGTGTCTTGTATATGGTGTTTAAGTAATTCAAACCAAGTATGAAAGTTTGAGCATTCCCATGAGAAATAGTTGCTGTGTAGCTTCCTTATTACTACTATTTGAGTTCAGGGACTGAAGTTGCATATCTATGCCTCATTTTCAGTATGTTTTGCCACTGGATGAACATCAAGACAAATTCTGTTGTCCACAATTTCACTATCAGACTGCAGTATCTGGAATGGTAGTAGAAGTCTTTGGACAAAGTGGAAGTTGTGGCATCTTTATGTGGCTGCTTGCTTTGATGCCTCCCTTTAAAACCAGTACAGGCAAAGACAACTTTGTTGTGAAAAGCCTTCTGTTGGCATAGATAACAATAGTGAATTTCATCTTTGATAAATAACTTGTAGAGTTAATTCTCCACCTGAGGGGTTCATTAACTCATAGGCAGCCCACAAATTCATGGAACTCATGTCTCAGTGGTGCTGCAATACACATCAGCACCTGCCCAACTGCGATGTCCCTCTTTAACCCAGGTTAAGAATATAGCACCAAGTTCTGTAACACTGTGTTCCCTACAGAGCTGGCATTCCCCACTCCATTCCCATTACTGGGTCATTAGGACACTGTCTTCTCCAGTGCCTGACATTTCACATACACTGCTGCTGCTCTAGTCTCTCAGGCAGCACCTTCAGAGCTCCTGTTCAGTGCACTGCTGCTCCAGCAGCTGACATCATTCCTCGCTGAAGGACAGGAGTCCCTCTTCCAAATATGCTTCTTCCCTTCAGTCCCAGATGATTCAAGGACCTGGACCTGGGTCAGTCAGAGTTATTCCTCTGTCTGTTGTATGCAGCTCCTGTCATTCTCCTGTCTTCGACCAGGAAGATGAGTTAGTCGGGCATGAATTCTTCCAGTTCTGCTAGTTCTGGCTTCTGAATCTTTGAGAATCCCGCACATACTGGGCTGGGCATGTGATTCCCCAGATTTTTCCATATATCAGGACATCCTCATGAACTTTTTATATCCCTTGAGTTTATTTTATTTCATATTTCTACTAGCATATCCTTTTTGAGTTCCTATTTCACTTTTGTATCTTTTCTCTCCCAAAAGAACTGTAAAATATTTTCTTGCCTCTTTTTTTTTTTCTTGCCAAATCCTTGGTTTTATTCATAAAATCACTTACTTGAAATGGATCATTTGAAAAGTTCATCACACAACAAAATCTTGTCTCCATTAACACCAGTATGTTACTGTTTCAGGGCTAATGACAGAGGTTTTTCTTCCTATAATATATGACTGCATGTCGTGGAGACAGAGCTCTGTGACTCTCCTGCCCTTCACATGGACCCAGCAGGGTAACACTATGCACGAGTTGTACTCACAGGTTCAATAAACAGCAGAACTTGCAGTTCCTTCTCTGGAAGTCTAGTACAATGTTCAGCTTAGGAACAACACAGCCTTCTTAAAAGACAGAATACTGCTCAGTTTTAATTGCAGGAAGGAAACACTTACAAAAAGGACATCAGCCAGTCACACCAATGTCTTTCTTTTCTAAAGCCTCATTATCGTCTAGCGGTGGATCTGGCAAGTCTACCTTCTTCAGTTCGCTATGGTGTCCCAACTATTCCAGTTGCAGCTTCTGCAAAAAAGTTTGAGCTTTGTCTCTTAACAACCCCAAAGTATCTATGGAGGACAGGTTTATCCTGAGACAGGGTTCATCCTCACTTGCTTTACTTATGGCCCCAACTAAAGCATCATTTCCATCCAATGCATATCATGAATGAGATCAATATCTATAAATTACTAGAGTAGCCCCACACCTATCACAGTTGTGATTGAGAGACAAATATTCAAAAGTCACTATGATGCATATTGTATTTTGCTACCTAATCAAGTTTTTCATTTTGAGATATTGTAATTTCAAAATGGGGGAATATCATTCACATTTTGGCACAACACAATCTTTTCTATTTTTTTTTCTTTTAAATTTATAAACAGGGATTATAGGAAACAACCAATGTACTTAAAAACATTTCACAGAATTTTCCATCCATATATGACTGAATTCTGCTGTTACATTTTTCATTACTGTTGTACATGAGATACCTATATACAGACTGGCAAAAAAATGTTCTGTCTTAGCCTCATAGTTTATGAGCCTAGTGAAGAAATACTGAGCCTGCAAGGGAAAGTAATGTGTAATATGTGCAAAGAAAGATATATTTGAATAGCCAAAAGCACTTCATTATTGACTACTCTTTTTATGTCCAATTTTAAATGTGCCATATCCAGTTATTTTGGTTCAAAATTAAAAGGACATAGAAAGCTAAAGAATCCATTGTTTTCTGTCTTTTCGTAATTAACACAATAATCTGCATTAAAGAAATATTCACTTCAGGGAAGAAACTGAAGCAACCACATATTCGATTTAAAATTTTCAGAGAAGATTAAAAATAAGAAATGAGAACTGAAAATATATGAAAAAAAGAAGTTGCTGCTGAATGTTTAAAAATATACACTTCAATTCCTTCGAGCTGATAAATCATAAATAATTCTAGAAATTATTTAAATAATCATACCTTTTTTCTATAAAAGTCCTAAACATACTGTAACTAGTAAGAAAACTCAGTACCTCATATTCTAATGGTTTTGCTTCATAGATCTCTGTTCCATTCAAAGGTCTTCCTGGCTGTATGTGAGTGACCAGCAGGGTCAGTGGGATGAGACCAAGAGAATATATGCCTAAATTCATTAGATGTGCTCGAAAGCCATAGGCCATCCTTGAAAGTGAGAATGTTAAAGTTACAACACTTTATAAATTTAGAAGAGCATGCATTCAAATGTAATGGGCAACACTTTTGGAGATGACGAAATAAATATTTATTAAAACATCCTTTTGTGATGCGTGTGTTCATTGAGCTTTATGTGGACAAAAGTATATTGGCCATTCTGAAATACTGTTCCTTTTCTTTCTAACTTAGCAATCCTATTATATATTTTTGCAAGAAAGCAGAAACAAAGATAGTGGTTGTCTTTGCTGTAAGTATCAAAGAATCATTACTAAATGCTAAGTTACCTTTTGTATGATAATCATCCACATATTCTAAATATGCTTATGAGACGTTATATGGAAAAGACATTTGCTTCAGTCAACACTACAAATATGTACATCTTAGTAAACTTAGTAAACTCTCAGGCACAATAGCTTTCATCCTGACATACAATATTATATTGTATGTACATTAAAATGCACCTACCATTTCATAAGCAAATATTCTTTACACACGGGATGACTGAGTAGCTCCATGCGATTGTGGCGTACCATGGCCTGCAAAACAAGAACGCAGAAGTATCAAACTTATCTCACCTAGCTAAGTAAAGTGCTTACAAAACTGGCTAGGCCATCTTCTCTACTTGATTATTAGCCTAATGAAAAGTAACATGTCTGTAAGATATTGCAAAGTTCTTTTGTTTATGCACTCTGGCCCAGAGCTATTATTATCTTGCCTTCTCTGCCTACTGAGGCATCCAGCTCTCCCCTGCTGCTCTGTTAGTCTATCTCAAGCTTTAAAAAAGTGTACAGACTATTGCCAGCTATACCTTTTAGTATATTCTAGTTACATTTAATGAGAAAATACTTATTTGTTTATTATTAGGCAGTATACCAAATCTAATTGCCAACAGGAAGCCACAAAAGTAATGAAACAGACTGGAGAAGTGGAAGAACAACAAAATTTGTTTTAGGCATAGAAAGTATGTTGCAATTAGCATATGAAAAAAATCAGTTTTGTCAGGTTTTTCAAGGCTTTACATTCCAGTGCATCATCACTAGAATGACTGGAATATGATTTTCTTTGATGTAGTACCTGCAACATACAGCATGTTCTCTTGAAACATTCATAGTTGTTTAAATAAACTAAGAATTTTTATTTAAACCTAAAAGAAACATTACTTATGACTTAGACTATAAGAATTTTGGCCCATACTTCATTCCACTATACTTTAAATATACAGAGTTATGGGCTTTGTAGAAGAAACATTATGATGAAAAATTCAAATCTCTTGATTTTATTTAAAGCAAGACAGCGTGGAATGATGCCAGAGTAAAAAAAAGAACTTACATTTAAAGTGGTAAGTGGTTCATAGAAAATGTCTTCACCATCCTTTAGTTTCTTGTTAAGTGTCAGGGGACACTGAAGATATCTGAAGTTATATTCAATCTGAATAATAAACATACACCAGCATTTAAATGTGATGAAACTGATAATCTAAGACTGACACAATGTGCTTAATCTAAAAAAGATTATCCTTTAGAGAAAAAAAAGGCATATTGTGTCAAAGTAATCAGAACACTGATGTATACTGATAGTTACTCTGCCAGTGAACATATGCCATCAGGATAACATCTGTGATTGTAAGATGATTAAACAAACAGCCATTTTGAATTGTAAAATGAAAAGTACACATTTCTTCTTAACATTTTACAGTTTAAAAGGTCATTCTCATAATTGTAATTTGTTTTGATGCTGACTTTGAAGAAAAGTTTGTATTTAGAAGTTATATGGCTTTGATAACACAATATAAAGAAGATGTAAAGTAGCAGAAAATTTGCATTTTTTCTGTTAATGATGTAGGCACAATCCAATGTAATAATTGAAAGGTGATTTTCAAAGGTAACGTAACTGTAGAACATTCATGCCTCCTTAGCATCGTGAAAGCAATCTACTGGTTAAGATTTTGGACAAGAATTTACAAAAAAGAAGTATGTTGGACTCTGAATTATTCATGACAATTGTACTACCTATGATAGGCATGCTTTTCATATGCATAGATATTATGTCTTCTATCACTGTTATTTTGAAATATCCATAACATCTGATACCAAGCTTGATTGCAAGAATTAACACAGCAAAGATAAAGTGTATAGATTTGCTCAGGTTTAATGCTATACTTGTTAAAATGCATAGGGATGAAGATTACAGAAACGAAACTTCAAAGCCATTTACAGGTCAAAGGATAAAATAAAATCAGTCAACTGTGTTTTCTGTTAAGATATGATATTCAAGTATATCCATATGAACTTGGCATATACATTAAAGTATACATATTGTGTACTTCCCAAACTTTCAACTCAAAAATGTGTTCATTTCAGTGTCACAGAGGCAATAATGAGAATTAAATCAGTGGCTTTGCTGAGAAAAAGGAGGAGACTAATAGCTGAAGATTGCTAGCATCTGATGAAGTGATTTTTAGAAGTCATCCTAATATCGAGGAGTTTTTTGCCAAATATATATTTTAAAAGCACAGATTCAAATACAGTTATTGGTGAATAACTACTGAATTATTCGTAAATCAAGTTAAAATATTGGCTGATACCAGTTTATCAACTACAGCACTATAATTGCAACTACACAAAATATTTAGGAGGTATTAGAATTTAGGCCAGTATTAGTAGCTAAAAGCCCGGATGATGATTTTCTAACTTAATTACTACCCAAATAATGTACTACTGCTAACATATAGCGAGGCACACTGTGACATATTCCATCCTAAAACTGTAAAATGTACTGTCTTCATAAATTTTCTCATCCACTTACATAGAAGTCTCGACTTGTCTTTTCCTCTGAGGACTCAATTATGCAGTTGTCCAAAACCAGCTTTGCAGATAAACAAAAAAGAGAATTAAAGATAATGTTCATCAGAAAGAGTATGTTTGTACCTCAGGAAAATTACCTTCAATTACAGCAGTCATCTAACAGAAGTAATGATTCAGTCAGATTTTATGGTGTATGTTTTGAAGACATAAAACTCCAGAGTTTTACATGTAGGAGTTAAATAATGAAACTATGCTGCTTACAAGGCCACATGCTAGTTTACAAGTATAAAATGTGAAGTGTTTATGAATATATACATACAAAGTCACTTGCTATTTTAATAAAAGCATTTCTGTGGCATCATTTAACAGTTAGCTCAGAAGCTGAAAATATCTCAAAAGGTTTTGAACCCAATTATTTTCTGACTTTCATCACTTTTATACTCCTTTTTATACTACTTTTATAATTCCATCGACCTCAGGAAGAGAAGAACATTTTCTAATACTAAATAAATTAAACTGGCCAAACTGAAACTATCACTAAAATACAATTAAATCAATTTGTGAATTTATACTGCTTCTATTTTAGGATAATACATATTAGTGAGGACAGCATTAGAAAAACAATGGCAAATGACACTACGTAACTAAGGTTTTTTTGAGCAGTCTTTTCCTTAATATGTGCAGAAAACCTACTTTAAAAGAATCAGGAAGATACTCAACCATTTCCAGCAAAGGACACTTATTGGCACTAGAATAGTGAGAGAATGTCACAACAGCTTCTTCCCATCTGCAAAAATGAGTTAAGATAATGGAAAATGAATTAGTTGTGTCTCTTTTAAATTAACTACTTTTATATTCTTTGAGTTTTATTTAAGATATCATCTTGCAAATCACAATATGTAACAAGTTTACATACCATCAATTGGAAAATCAGTTGTTTGGGGACTAATTGAGTAACGTTCTGGATGCTTCTCTAAGAATGATTCATAGAATCATATAACCATGTAATCTTTCAGTTGGAAAGGACCTTTTAATCATGTTTAATTCTGTTACCAATTAAACAGAAATGTTTCAGCTACACTGAGGCCTTCTAAAAAATGTAAAACTTGAACCAAAGCTGGAATCTTGGGTTCAAGATTAAGTGAGAAATAATAAATACATTAAAATACTGGCAGTGTTCCTACAATTCTTACCAACAGATGTGATCATTAGGCAATGGTGCAACACTTTTATCCCTGAAGTGGGGCTTCACTATATTATATATAGTGAATAATATATATAAATAT